TGAGCACAAAAAGACTTTTTTTCCAGATCCCAAAAGGTCCCCCATGATGAACTATCAAAATATAAGTTGAGCCTCCGACCTAGACTACTCTACTATGGCTTAACTCAAGTTGTGGGAAATCTCTTTGAGGCTCAAGTGATCTCTAAGCAGATTTATTGGCTTCTTCAAGGATGCAAATGCAACTTAACTTCTCTCAATGAGATCAACAATTTAATTTTATAAAATGTCCCCATCTGTTTTCGTTGCTTTGAATCAAAAGAATTCTATTGCTTCTAGCAAACCTCCTTTCTTCTGAAAACCGTTTGAAATCTTTTAAAGGCTTCTGAAATGAACATCTTCTCCAAATTTTATAATTCATATGTTTTTTAACCGATTGCTACGAAACGTCTCATGATTGTTGTTAAGTGGTGTCCAAGGAAAAGAAATGAAGGATGATGTGGAGAACAATGAGGGCAGCTATCTTGTGGGCAGTATGGGAAGAGAGAAACAATAGGATTTTCCAAGGGAAAGAAAAATCAGCTCCTGAAGTTATTGAAGGGATCACCATCAAGGCAGTACATTGGCTGAAAACTCTTGACTTGTTCAAGGATATCTCTACAGATGATTTGATTAGAGGCTAGAATATTTTAGCAATATCTTCTACTTCATCACCTACCATACAAGCAGTTTGGTCCCCTCCTTTGCAGTATCATGTCAAATTGAACTTTGATGGCAGCTCTATTGGGAACCCCGAACCTTCTGGAATAGGGGGTGTGTTTAGAGATGCAGAAGGAAAAATCCTAGCTCTGTATTCTGGCCCAATAGGTGTGGGGGACTCGCTCAGAGCTGAAGTTTTGGCGCTCCTCCAGGGGCTCAGAAGGGCCAAGCAATTGGGTTTCCAACAGTTGGAAGTGGAGGGGAATTCAAAATTAGTAGTAGGTTGGCTGCAATCAAACAGATTGGGAACGTGGTCCCTTAGACAACAGGTAAGGGAATTATTGAGCCTCACAAGTGAGCTAGATGTAACAGTGCATTGGTCTAGGAGGTCAGCAAATGCTTTAGCTGACTACCTAGAAAAACAGGGGGTGAATCAGTAGTTTTTGTTTTGTGCAGTGTTGTAAAATTTTTGTTATTTAGGGGTCACCTTTTACTTTGGAAGGTGACAATTGTTTCTTTTGGTTTTATCTAATGAAAGTTACGGTGTCCTATAAAAAAAAGTGGTGCCCAATGAAATGAAATCAGCGTGTTTGGAGATTTACGCTCTCCCTTATAGGGGAAGATTGGCAACAAATTCATGGAGAACCATTTACTCCATGTCCATGGAGACAAACTGAAACTAATTTGGATTTACCATTTTCATTTTGAACAACTTACTTTGTCTTCTTTGAGAATAAACCTTTTAGCATTATTTGAGTACCCATTAAAGAGGGATGGAGCGCAATAGCTATGATGATTGCATTGCCCTAGTGTTTATGCTTTAGATGAACTAAAACAACATTGATATTATAATTTATGAACCAAGTTAATTGAAATTTATTTACATGAAATGAACCTATTTTTTATGCCACTTTTTATGCTTGAAACAATCCTATAAAAGTGTAGTGAAAGCACAATATTTGAATTTATTAGCATATATATTTAAATCAAATTGAATCAGATTATATTGGATTAGATATGGCTGGGTCCATATTTGGCCCAATTATAAACAAATTGAATTCAGATCATCATACGGACAGCATGTGCGCCATGGTGTCCCTGCCCCTTAAATCCTCTTTAATTTGTGTAAATGTAATACCGCAAAAAAAGGCCCTTCAAATTATCACAAGTTTTAACTGAATTGAAAGGGATCAAATTTGCAAAAAAGCAAGTGCAATGAGGTATTGACTGTAAGGCCCTTTATTCCACAAAGCTTCGGCTAGCATGGTGCTTATAGTCCTTGATAGATTTCTTTTTGGGTTCGAGAGCTAAAGGGTAAATTTCTTAAATTATCCTTACTGTTTGAAAATTGACTAAATGTACCCTTACTGTTTGAAAATTAACTAACACTACCCTTACTGTTTCTAGTAATTGATTAACTCTACCCTGTTGTTAGCATCCGTCAATGCTCGTTACAATTTCTGCAATGTGACCCACGTGACCCAATATTACCCTCGTCCCCCCTGAGTCATGAACCCACTCCATTCTCAGACCTCCCCCTCCACCTCTGTCTCTGGTCGCTTTCCCCTTCTTTATGGAGATGGATAACTGAGTCAACGAGCATGCGCATGGGAACGAGAAGAGCGGTTTTCAGTCCGACACAGAGACTGCAAGTCCTCTCTCCGATCTCTTTTCTCTCTTCCTCTCTTTCTCTCCTTCCACTTCTTTTTCTTCTTCCAGAGAATAGAGATTTGAGCAGCTGCAATACAAGTCCGAGCATTGGAGAACAAAGAGCCTCCGATCTCTTCTCTCTCTCAAATCCACAGCTCAAATTACCAACTACATGAAACTGGAAGTTGCACGTTGAATGACAATTCCTGATCAGGTACACGGTGGCGGAGGAAGTTGCAGCGGAGCAGAAGTTACAGGTTGCAGCGGAGTGGAAGTTATAGGTTAGTTATACAGTAGGGGCATGAAACCGTTTCAGCCAGAAATTGTAGTAGCACCGTCTCTGCTTTATCTCATTCCACCTCTTTACCTTTGCCTATGACTGCCTGCCAACTGGTTTTGGTTGTGCCGGTCCCACTAGCCAGAGAAGAAGGAGAAGAAAAAAAAAAGAGAAAGTGTGAGAGAAGAAGAGAGATCAAAGGTTAAATTGTCGTCGTTTCTTCTGGTTCGAGCGACGATGAAAGGTACTGCAACTCATTGCAGCAATGCTCCTCTATTTTCGTTTGAAGGGGGGTCATCGCCGTCGCTGCTACAATGAGTTGTAGCAGCAGATCTGAACACGACATATTGTCTTCTCACTCTCTCTTTCAATACCTCTCTCTCTCTCTCTCTCTCTCTCTCTCTCTCTTTTCCCCTCTCTCCCTCATTTTTCGGATCTTTTTTCCCACCCCTTCCCTCATTTTTTTTGCATTTTGGATCATTGTTCACCATCGTCTTCAAACTCCTGAACTCGAACTAGACGTCATAGCGGCGACAAATGGTAGATTCTCTGGCAGGCAGAACAAATTAACTTCCTCTCACTAAACTCTGATATATCCCCGGTCATCATTGCCGCAATTGAAACTGATCGAAATCTCTCCCTTGCGTATCAGGATACATAAGGTAAGTTTACTCTTGTTATTAGCTTGGCGTTCATCAGATCCACACCCATGGTTCACAACGTTTAGCTCTCGCAAGGCCTCTCTTTGCTTTATCCGCCATCAAAACCGTACAGATCAAGGGGTTTTCATTGTTGCCATTTCATCCCTTTGCTTTCTCCGCCATCAACTCGACGGTGCTCATTGTTGCCATTGTTATCAAAGGGGTTTTTAGGTGCAAAAATGATAGGGATATAAGTGCTGAGATCGCCTAAGAGCCACTGAGTTCAGCATTTCTTTCTTTTTATTTTGAAAATTTGAAAAAAAATAAAGGGTAAAATAATCCTTTTCGTCTTCCTGTTTGTTAGAAATAATAGGGGTAGTGTTAGTCAATTGTCAGAAATGCTAATGGTAAGGGAAATAGTAAGAGTAGTTTAAGAAATTTACCAAGAACAATTTTTGGAATATTGGGACTTGCATGTGGGCAAACATGTCTTAAAGATGGATGCTTATTGGGAGAAAATTTTGGTTATCCACGTTTGACAGCTTCTAATGTTTTTAGGGTTCTCCCCCCATGTCATGACATGTTTTTCTATATTGGGATCTATTCCTCATAGCCTCACAATGACCTCACAGGCACATCCCATCATGCATTAATTAAAAACATCTTCCATGAATAATAACATATAAATACGGGAGATGTTTTCAATGCACGGTGGAATGACCATAGGCACATCCCATCATGTATTAATTGGAAACATCTTTCGTGAATAATAACATATAAATACGGGAGATGTTTTCAATGCACGGTGGAATGACCATAGGCACATCCCATCATGTATTAATTGGAAACATCTTTCGTGAATAATAACATATAAATACGGAAGATGTTTTCAATACACGATGGGATGTGCCTGTGAGATCGGTGTGAGGCACCGTGTGAAGAGCAGATCCAGTCTCTATAGACATACCTTCAGCACTGTTACTGTTATAGGGCTCTCTCTCTCTCCACAGGTCATGACACGTTGGTCTATACAATCATGCTTTCAGCACTGTTACTGTTATAGGGCTCTCTCCAGTCTCCACGTGTAGACAGGGAGAACCCGGCCTATGGACAATTTTGAGAACTGTAGATTGAGCAACCCATAAGTTTCAAGCATTAAGGGAGATTTTAGGAACCATGATGGGGCAATTTTGGTTAGGGGCTCAATCAAAGCTGAACACATGCAACCCTAGGGTTTGAGAGTAGGAAAAGTCACTACCTACAAAAGATTTGAAAGTAGAGAGGGACTGAAGGATAATCATTAAGAGGCTTCATAGTTTATATGGCCATTGACGTATAGGCATACTTGATATAGAGGTCAGCAAATAGAATAGCAAAGACATTAGCAAATCTATTCTTTTTCACAAATTAATAAAATTACTGCCGTGGTAATGATAAGAAAAAAGAATACCAACTTTGTTAAGGTAGTTTAGATTTCCTAGGAAGAAAGGAGAAGAAAATAGAAGAGAAAAACATGTCAGGAAGAAGCAAAAATTATGAAGAGAGGGGTCTTCATTCCAACATATATGGTGTCGCAATTTTACACAATGACCAGAATACCCCTAGTCAGGTAACCCATCAATATTGCATACATTCTCAACAACTAGGGCTCATGGCCAGATTTGTGTGCATTGATGATTGAACATCTAGTTCATAACAATTAACAAAGCACCAACCCAACATCATCTGGTTTTAGTGGTCTTTCCAGCCCAAGCCATCTGCCAAGCCAAACCCAGTCCATATGAGAGAGCCTCCCAACAGAGAATGTGCAGCGACATGTTAAAGATTGATCAAAGAATACATCCAACTGTTTGGAAGCAATGATCAGTGTTTCCTCAATACAAAAAGAAAGAAAAAAAATTCAGGACTGCTGAGGAAACAAAGAATGAACTTACCAAACCTTACAAGAAACAAAATAATCCCCCTCCCCATTTTAGCCCAAAGAACAAAAAAAAGCAATTAAGAAAAAAAAATGGCCATTAGATTAAACTATGGTTTCCTTGTGGTGTTCCACCATGCGAGAAGCCAACAAATGGATCTCCAAATGGGTTGTTGGACCCCATGTACTGCTGCATTGGCTGGTGAGGGTATTGAGGGAGATATTGGTAGGGTGGAGCCATCATCATCATCTGTTGTTGATGTTTCTGCTGTTGCATTAGCATCTGTTGTTGTTGCTGCTGAGTCATTAAGGCCATCTGAACACTAGTTGGGGGTGCTATATTATTGGACATGGAAAATGGGTCTTGTGGATCAAATGGGTTAGGTGCCGCCATGCCAACCCCATACCCTGCAACCTGTTGTTGATGTTGTCTCCTGGCTGCTGCATCTTCATACAAGCTATCAAGCAAGAGCCTGTCAAACCCACCAGCCTGAAACAAATGAAATCCATGCATAATCAGAAAAGAGGAACCATATGTGTGATATTTGTCAAGTGAAATTGTTTAAATAATCCAATATTCATGGTTCACCAAATTGATAATGTTTAATCAATTCAAGGTAAGCAAACCTAGCAAGCTGACCTATTGGTTGTAATCAGTCAACTCATAGGTGGATTAGCAAATGAGCCTATAAATTGGGCTCGAACTCGGCTCGAAGCTCGGTTTAAATCGAGCCTCATACTTTTTTGGCAACCTGAATTAGAATTGCTAGCTATTTGGCTCGGCTCAGCTCAAATCCACCCCTAGCAGTCAGCCAACTTATGTTTATAAAATATCTCAGGAAATGTACAAGCTATATCCTAATGCCCCACAAGAAGTTGTAATGCCTCCTAGAAACTCTTCCAACTTATTTAGTTTAACAGTCAAAGCTAAACCATATCTAGATAACATGTTCATGGATCAAATTAAAATGTTTCGTGTGTGTATTGTATGTATGTTCTACAATGGAAAATATTGACCCACTGCATAAAATGTTCCAACTCGCCAAAGCAATGTTTTAAAAAACGATCCGGAACTGGAACCATTCTGGCCACTGATTTCTGGTTCGATGGTTCAACTGTCTGATTCGAACGAATGGCCTGTTCTGGCAAAAAATTAAAATAAAAAATTGCCAAAAACCATTTAAACAGGTTGAATGGATCGATTGACCAATTCAACGGTTTTTGGCCAGGGGTCAGGTTTGGGGTAAAACGGAACTGGTTGCCTGAATGGTTCCCGGGCCGAACGGTCCAACCATCCGGATTAACAGCCGTTTGAAAACATTGCACCAAAGTCTAAATTGTAGGCTTAGTCAGATCATTTACCAAGTCTTCCTACCATGATCACATTTTCCTAGCAAGTAAAAGTGCACAAATGCTAGATTTAACTACGTAGAAAACAAACCAATTTGCTTTCTGTCAAGTGACTGGTATTGTTGCTTGGCGTAGTCACCAGCGCAAGTTCCCATCCTGTAGCATTTGGGGCACCAAGAGCTGCCAATTCCCGACTTGTTGAAGATAGTGGATCAAGCCCTGAAATATTTTTCAAATAATGAGATTTGATTGATATCCAACTCTGAAACACCAAACAAAAATTCAAATAGTTAGGATATGCAAAGGGACACTATAACAAATCTTAACCCATAATAAATGTTTATTACACCCATTAGGTACAACATGAAGATGGTCCAATAGTTTATCACACCAATTAGGTATAACATAAAGAGGGCCCAATAGCATAGAAAAATCCATGCAAGGAGGGATAATATTGCAGCTCTAGTTGATCATGCTACTTACCATTTTCTCCATTCATATCTTTTTGGATAATTAACCATGTCTAAATGTCAAAATGAAGAAAAAGTAAGTCTACAGGAATGGATGGTTAGATGCAGATCATTTGACTGTATAACCTAAGTCTTTAGTCTCTGCATATGCTGTTATGTTGTTAAAGTGGCGTTTTGATCTACCAGAAATACATAATCAAAATTTTCCTAATTATCAATATAGAAACCAACCAGATGGATCTATAATTGCAAGAGCCAGCGCATTGCTTTCCTCTAGTTCTGCAGCTTTGGGATTTATCTCATTAAGACCCTGCAAAAGGAAGTATAAAGAAGATATTGTTTACAGAAGTTTTATTCCAGCATCAAAAAGAAGCACAAGGGAATACAAGTAAATCACCAGTAAATCTCCAGTATATTCAATAAGCGGTGGGGGAGCTTCAACCTCATTCTTAGGCTGAGGTTCTTCTTGTGGTTCTTCAATTGGCCTTTTAACCTCAGCTTCTTCAATGGGTTGAACAATTTCTGAAGGTGAAGGTTCTTGTTTTGGATGCACTGGGGTCTCAGGCCTCTCATGATACTCCTAGGTTAAGAAAAAAAATCAAGAATAACCCAAGAAGGGTCAATACCCATGCTGGAACTTGACCACAAGGGGAGAAAACATCAAAGAATACATATAAGTTGTTAAATTGTCATTGGTGTTGTGTATACAAAACATGATAAGTTCTTAATCCGAAGCTTTGGGAGGGAAATTTGGATAAAAATGATAATAAGTGAAATACAGAGGCAAGACCAATAACTTGCAAGTTCATAGTGAAAACAAAATAATTATGATCTCAGTTCATTATAAATACCAATATGATGATAATGGATGACATACACTAATGCGATTTGAATGGTAATCAAGACAAGTATATAATCATCTTCAATAATTGTTATTCCAAAGAAATACTTTGGTACATAATCATCTTCAATAATTGCACAAAAGTTCATATGTATGTAGGAATTCATGTAAGAGTTCATATTGTAATGATTAAAGGAATGATAAGGTTTCATGCAAGTTAAAAGGCAAAGATCTTGAGATTAACAACAAAGAAGACAGAAAGATTGATGTACATGGAAAACCTAGCATTATGCCTACAATTTCTTGATTGAGAATCACAAAACCATAATATATTTTTTTGCTTTTTTTTTTATGGCAAGAACTTCCCACCAAGGACCCCCAATAAACAATATGCAAGGAGTACTACTCAGAAGGAAGAAAAGACATTGTCACCATTTCAATCTAAGGACTAAACTAGTACATCGAAATTCCAATAAGAAGTGGAGTTCTAGTGTGACAACATTAAATTTTAGCTCCTTGTTCTTGCCATTTTTCACAAAGACCATATCTGTTGGCTTCAGTTAAGGAACAATATTGCAGCACCACCATGGATTAGGACCAGAGCTACTGGGTAAAAGTAGGTGAACCAGAATGATTATGTGATGATATATCATGGGGAACTATTTTTAGTAGCATCTTATCATTATGCATGCATAGCTCATATAGGTCAGTCAAATATTGGATGTTAACAAGGCAGCACAAGAATACCAAACCTTCAACTAGACGAATTGCGAAAACCCAATAACTAGCAAGAGAGAATGGAATTCAATGGCACCAAAATTGATAACTTTTGTAGGGAAAAATTGATATCTTGAATTTATTTTGCAATTGAACCTTGGAAAACAATTTTACAATTCAATGGATGAGTTAACCCACCAGCCTCTTATTTGAAACAGAACCTGTCCGAGGTGCTTCTCTTATGTATTCTTCCATTGTTGCAAGAAAAGAAGGAGGCGGCTGTTCATTACAGAAAAAAAGTTACATGCATAAACAATAATCATTACTTCTGGGTAAAACCTTTTTCTTAAAATAAGATAAGGAACCTGTCTCAAAGTTGGAAAGTGGAAGTTCCTAGCAAGCTCCAAACCTTTGCAAAACTCATAAAAATCAGCAAGATTCTCAGCCTGTCCAAAGGTGGTTATAGAAAAAGGCAATCTTAACAAGAACCTCTAAGTAACATAGTGCATAGTAAGAAAAAAAAAAGCGAAGTTGGCTTGCAAGGTAGCCATATAAAAGCATCAATTGCAAACCTGTTGACCAGCCCTTTTGTAGATATTAAGGGCTTTGACTGCATCATGTCTTGTCATGTCAAAAAACTGCAATAAGCTACCAAAGTTAATATCAAATGGAAAAACTAAGCTATTTATGAATCTCCATCAATTCAAAAAGCATAGATATTAGATAGAATAATCAGTTATAACCTTACCATGTCCACAAGATTGATGATTCCATCATTGATGGCACAATATATTTTAAAGCTCTCCTTCAATACCTGCAGATCCAATATTAAAAACTTGACAGGTTACAAATGTAAAAATGTATACCAGCTCAGACCAAAAGTAATGACCCTTTGTTATACATTCTTAAAGATCAGATAAGAAACTTCAGAAGCCAAAACCAAGCCTTGAACCCCAAAACTGAATTGACAAGTCTACTTTACAAGGAAAGTTAAAAGTTCTGAAATAAGGGGCTATATATATATATATGAAGCATCCAATATGATTGTTAAATTGGAAAAAATGAAGAAAAATATTCTAACTTGAATAAACTTTCTAATTTGAGACTCCTAAATGTAAGAGAAATAGAAAGAGAAGATGCATACCAGAGCCAAGGCATACTGCACAAGATAGTTGTTATAAGCTAGTCCTTCTGGCTGTAAAAGGAGAAGGAACTTGGTCACCCATTTGATGAAAAGCTAATCTTTTGAAAAAGAAAACAAATGTTTTTTTCCCCTTTTGGATAGTAGCTGGTTAGCTATTGAATAAGAAAAATATTCACCTCCAATTCATGGTGTCAATATGCACATACTCTACCAACTTGGAAGCTAATAATATCAGTATCAGACACATCAATGTGGACTTCCACATTGTGAAGAACCAGTAATAATTGGAGGTTCATGTTAATATTTACCTGGCAACCAACAAGGCGGTACAGCAGCTGCTGCAATGCAGGCAACTGCTCCAGAAGATCATCACTACCCAAAAGCCTTGTTCTACTATGCCCTTGCTGAAATAAACATACATAAACACAGAGAAAGAACAGAAAAAAAAAAAGATTAGCAAAGTAGAGACCTTGATAAGAGAAATTTAAACTGAAATAAAACTTGGGCCCTGCTCCAGGCAAGTGCAGTACACACATACCTTGATTATCCCTTGTGAGGATTTAGTTAGACGCTCTGATTCAATGTCATACTTCAAAACCCTAAAACACTCAAGTCTTTCTTCTAGAAAGAGCGCATATGTGCGGACCCATGCAGAACAGTCCCAAGCTGCATTAATGGCAATTTGTCCATTTAAGAAGGAAGCACCAACAGAAACAGAATTGTCATCAAGGAAAAAGCTTCCCAGCAATCCAGTATAAAACATTAACAGCCAAACTCACCTAGAGGACTTGAATCATCCTTGAAATTGGATATTTGGAGTATATGTCCTCTGTGTGAATAGTTTAAAAGCTCCTCTCTGAAAGTTGGGTCACCCTCCCTCAATGTTCTATGAATAACTATCAATGTCTTCAAAGCAACCTGCAGCACAAAATCACTAACAGATTAACAAAACAGACTATCATAAATGTAAATGATGCATTAAACTGCAATAAGAATCAGTGAAGCTTCAGAACCAGTGTTGCATGGACTCTGGAATCACGAATCTTGAAAATCCGTCAGATTTCAAACTCCTGTGCCCATGTCCATGCAACATTAATAAAAGTATATCTCATCGGTGACTGGTGATCCACTGATCCTAAATACAACAATTGCAAAATATTAAAAGGGCAATTTTCTTAAAGTACCCCTGACAATTTACTAACTTTACCCTTACCGTCACCATGTATAACATTTTTTAAAACCCAATATTACCCTTTTATCGGCTGATATGCTATTTTTTCTCATGTTTATCCATCCAACCCGAAGTTTGCTCAAACTCCATTACTCCTTCCTCTCTCCATAAATCATCCTTACCCATTTTAATATCTCATTTGTTCCATCTCTCGTCCAGTCGTACTGCGTCTTCTCCTCTGCTCTTCAATGGCGGTGCCCCAGGAACAGACTATACTCGTAACCAGTGTGGCTGAATTTATAGGCACCCACAACTAGCTTCTTAATGAGGGTTTTTAGAGTATCCATCATTGACAATCTTGATGACTTGATCGAAGAAGCTGTCAACAGAGTTTGATGATTATGGGTCCTGACCTCTCTAAAAACCTTCAATTCCATTTGGTAAAATAATCCGATCTTTTTTTCATGAGTTTCTTTCTTTCTGTATGTGTATTGGGAGATTGCTCTTCCTCTCGACGGAGAAGCAGAGTCAGAGTGTGCATGATGAATTTCTGAGAATTGAAAGTCGTTGTATCCACCTATTGATTTCAACGCTAGGGCACATGATTGACAAGAAAGAAATGGATTGGACTTGCATGAAGTAATGGATTCTAAAATCTCAGTAGAACTGAATGATGCACATTGAGATCATAGAGCAGAACAAAGTGGATCTTATGCGAGCTTTGATCGGAAGAGAAATCCTTGCACAAAGGTTTTCCTCGACCTCTTGAACTCTTCTCTGTTTCATTAGTATTGGGAGATCAGCAGTTTGAATTCCCAAAACCCCTGTGTCGGAACCGTCGGTGTTCAATAATTTGCCAATATATTTCAGTTTAATGTCCCCGAGAGAATGGCTTAAAAACAAAAGCTTGAGCTAAACAAAGCAATTGGTATTTTGTATTCTACGTTTTTTTATTCTTATGAAGAGTTTGATGAACCACTCCCTTGTCGGTGTTATCTTCGAGTTATGATTCATGAGTCATGGTTGTGCTTCTGGATAGTCTTATTGACTTTTTCCTCCACATTATTTTGACAGAAGTCAGATTTTATTTTGAAAATTTGAGGAATAGTGGGATAGAATTAGTTAATTTCTTTTTGTCATTAAGTATTTTTAACTTATCTAACAAAATGCCACAAATGAAATATAATATAATATATATATATATCATATCATTTCTCAAATAACCAATGAGATACTCTCTTAAAATCTTTTTCTCTCTCTCCTGTCAATAACCTAAATAATATCCTCTCCTATAATTTCTCTTAGACTATTTTCCCAATTTTCTCTTAAATTATCTCTAATTCCTATTTATCCTCTCTCCCACTTTTTATCTATATCTATTTAAAGAAAGTTTGAATTAAAAATATAAAAAATATTTAAATATTCTAAAAAATTATATAATAATTTTAAAATATTTATTAAAACACAAAAAATTATTATAATAGATTTAATAATATTCATGTTATTAATAATTCTACATTTTTACAAAATTCATCACAAAATTATGTACTAACAATAAAATTATGATTTTCTGGATTATTCAATTTAAACATTATTCAAACAATAAAAATTTAACATTAAAAAATTAAAATATTATTTAAATATTTCAATAACTAAATATCTTAAATAACAAAATATTTAATATTATGTAATAACTTTAAAATAAATAAAATTCAAATAATGAAAAATTTTATATATTTTATATATTATTTAAATAACAAAATATTTAACATAACTAGATTTTAAATAGTTAAAAAAGTGAAATTATGTAATAAATTTAAAAACAATTCTTAAACGTATAATAATAATAATAATTATAACATAATATTCAAATTAATAATAATTTAATGTTTTACAGAATTAATAACGAAATTATGTTATAATAGTATAAATTATAATTTTATGAATTATTAAATTCAATAAATTATTAATATTTCAGAATTTAAATAATGATATTATTTAAATAACTAAATAATATTGTAAATAACTAATTTCACTTATATCAATTAATAACTCTAGAAAATAGCATTCAATAAAATAATACTTATTATTAATAATTTTAAAATATTAATCTATATTTATTATATATTTATCTATACTAAAATTAATATTTATTGTATTTTAGTAATTATTTATTGTTTTTTGTGATAAATATATTTTCAATAATTATTGAAGATTAAACTACTATTATTTAACTCTTAAAATTTAATTATTATATTTATTGTATTTTTTATAATTTATTGATTAATATTTATTAGGGATTAAACTATTATTTGATATTAAACTATCTATTGACTAATTTAATATATTTTTAGTCTTTATTGTATTTTTGTTATCAATGTAATTTCAATAATTGTGTCTTTTTTGTCTAAATTTTCAATAATTGTTGGAGATTAAACTATTGTTATTATTAGACTATTAATTGAGTTGAAATTAGGAGTGTTCATAGGTTGGTTTGGCTTGGTTGTAGGTTGTTTGGCCAACCAAATCAACTTGGTCAGGTTAGGGAGTTGGTCACTCGATACCGACTAATTAGTGAAAACTTGTCAATTCATCGATTTGGGTCGATTTTTAGTTTAGTCGATCAATTCGAAATATTTAAACTTAAATTTAAAAAATATAGTGACATTATTAAAAAAATAAATTTAATAATTAAATTTATGATATAAAATATTTTAGGCTAAGAAATATGAGAATTTTCCCACTTTTCCATATTAAAAATATAAAATATTAATAAATATCTATGGTCAGGTTATTCAATTTTGGTCGATTTACAAATGGCCAAAGCAAAACTGATTCAACCTAATTGGATTGGAAAATTGTTGAACCAAAGCCGATTGGAAATACTAGAAAATTGAGCAACACGGGTCGAGTTGGTCAAACCCTAGTTGAAATTAATTATTGTTATTTTTATATCACAAAAAAATTATTAAAAGTGGTAAATAAAATATAAATAATTATTAATTATTTAAAAAGTTAAAAATATAAAACAGTTATATAATCTTATGTGTTTCTATTGTTTGACTTTTGCTTAACAAATTCCATGTGCATGGCACAAATCCCCACTAGTCTTTTAAAGAAATCATTTTTCAAAATCAATAGACAAAAACAAAAATAAATAGCTCTGAGTCAGAAATTTCATCGTACATAGATTACTTGAATTTATAAAAAAAAGGGGGAGAGGTTAGGATGGATTACAATCCAGTTATGCGTCTTGGCCAATCTCCTCGCAAGTGCATGAATGCAATAGGCAACATCTGCTCGTGGACGCACAATAGAGGTCGCGGAAAAAATTTCTGAAACATATCAGCCAAAAATCAATATAAATGAATGAATAAAACAAGCACAAACAAAGAAATAAAACAAACAACTGAAACCCATTTCGATGAATTTCAGATGCATTTCCTTAATGCAAAATATCATTGATCATCCAGAAGACTATTCCAATGCAAATTCAGCCTATAACGACATAAACGTATCTTTATATATCCACAAATGGTTAAAAAGAAACCCAAAATAATAATCTGAAAATTAATCAAACACCTGGTGTTCCTACCATGCATGATCAACTAAACTCAACGAAATCACAGAACAAAAACGCATAGAAATGAAATGCAACAAATGCATCCATTATCAAATGTACAGAATGACTGTGCTCACTTCGAACGTGCCGTTCCTTCGGAGGACACTCGACGTGATTGGTTGCCTTGACAATTGCAATATCCAAGTCCTTCCATCAAACGAAACGCAAATCAAAATCCAAAACAAGCAGAAAAGAACAGAAAAGAAAAGAAAAAAAAATGCAACAAATCCATATATAATCCATTAATGGGTGAAGAACTAAAGAGCCGGACCTTGAATTCACTGTTAACCTTGGCGAGGCCAACCTTGGTGGAATCCTTGAGTGCTCCGTAGGCTTTGCGTAAGCTCTGCATTGTTCCCATTCGCTGCTGTAAACCCACAGAAACTTTATCCCTATATACCAACCTTTTTCTCTGTAAATTATTTAGTCTGTAAGTCGAAGAACGAGAGGAGAGAGGAGGAGATGTTCTTCTCTAGCTCCCTGGTTATTGTAACCGTGATTCCCTTCCTCCAGGCTCCAACCAACGTTGTCACCTCTCTCTCTCTCTCTCTCCCTCCCTCTCGTTTTCTCTCTCACTCTTCTCTCCAAAATGTGCGCAAGAAAAAGGGTGTTGGTATATATCCGAGGTTATTTTAATCATTTCGAACAGAAAAAGTCACTTTCTATAACTGTTAGAGAGTGAAATTACCGGAGCGCCCCGCATGCAGAAAATTTGACATAAGGACGTAGGGACGACAATGGTTTGGATTTCGGGTTTTGATGGCCCGACCAATGAAGTCAGCCCGACCAGACAAGTGTTCGGCTTTCATAGTTTGCCTGCTGTTGAATGGTGCAAACCTACTCCTAATTTCCTGGTGTAATATGCTCCCCAAGCTAAAAAAAAGGTGGTAGCCAACTCTATCCATATTCGGAAAGTGAACAATCCTTCAATGTATTTTGTGTCTTACCCATTCATTGAGCTTTGTTTCAATTGAAGGAAAAAGTAGGGAAAGGAATAAGTGTTCAGCTCTTTGAATATTTGACTTAGAAGGCGGCTAATAAAACTAGTAGTAGTTGGAAGGAATCCATTATCTACAAGTGTAAATTGGGCCGTTTTGGGCCGGTATAACACGGTCCGTGCAAAGTGTGGGTCGTGCCACCCTTTAAGTCGAGTCAGATTATGCTTTTCTCCTTTGGGATACTTTGGGGGTTGGTCCGGTACAGTCCACAACCCACAACTTGAGCTCGTGAGGGCCCGTGTTGTGTCACAATCTGGCCTAGTCTGCATATCGAGCCTTGAGCTAAATGTAAACCAGACCAAGCTTTTTTTATTTTGAAAAAATAATAAAAATTTTAACATAAATTAAAAAAACAGAAAAAAAATAAAAAAGATCTTAAAAATTTATTTTATATGAATTTTGATGTATTCAATATTATTTATATATGCAATAATATAATAAAATTGAAAATTATAATATATATAATATATAATATATACGGGCCGTGTTGGGTCATGCCGACACACGGGTTGTGGGCAGCACGACCCACTCAATCGTGTTGTGCTGTGTCGGCCCATGGACCTAAAACCTCAAGCCTAACACAACCCATGCAATCATGTTGTACCTGGCACGGCCCACAATCTGTCATGCTGGGCCAGTTCAAAATCATGATGAGATGTGCCGGGCCAGGGCGACATGACCTAATTTACACCTCTACCCTTCTCTATCAAAGCTAGGAAAGAGGTGTTACTCAAATAGGTTATAACTGTTATTCTCACATATTGCATGTCATACTTTTTAATTATGAGGATTGAGTGAAAAGCTTAAAGGAAAGTGAGATAGGTATTTTATTCTCAAAATTGTAAATCTAAAGGCTTTGGGGGGTCTTTGTGACAACTCTTCTAGCTTGTGATCAGAATTTTAAAGGTTATGGGGTTGGGAAAGTGCTTTAGAATGGAGAAATATGGTAGAAAAGGATATGTGGTGGATGAGTAAACAAAGATCAGATGTGGATATTAGGAAGGATCTTTGAACCACTGGTTTAAATGGTTTAAGCTGGGCCAAAACTAGCTCTGAAACATGATTCTAGTGTGGCGAGTATTGTAGATATGGAAGGTAGGTGCTGGGCTGGGATGTTAGTAAAGTAAATGCTTTGTGGCTAGTATAGTAGATGTGGAAGGGAGCTGCTGGGATGTTGGTAAAGTAAATTTGGCTTCCAATACTTGGGATGATGTGGGCTTTCAATGAGAAAGGTAGACTTATTGTTAAATCAGCCAATAACATTGTCCTTAACTTGATTGAGGCTAATAAGACTACAATTTTAGGCATTTACTTAGAAAATGAAAATTCAAATCTTTTATAGAGGATTCCTCTTGAGCCTAAGATGAAGCATTTCTTGTTGAGATGTTGTCTTATTAATGGTGCAACTGTCAAAGAGAACCTCCATCATAGGAAAATCACCCCGGACCCTTTGGCTCAGTTGGGAAGGAATATAAATACAAAATTGCACAGTGTAAATACATACAAAATACAAGCTTTTGCACTTACATGTTTGTATTTATATTTTATACTCCTTCCAAATTAAGCCTTTATTGAAATTAAGGTGTAAGCTTGAGAATGAATCTATCTTCCATGCATTGGTTTCTTGTGATAGAGAGCAAGATGCATTTGATTTGAGTTTGAGATTGGGATTAGACCAGACCTATTTGATGGTGATGTGTCCTTTTATTGAAAGATCTAAGGAAAAACTTGCACACCTTAGCAAATTGTGCCATTAATTTGCATGTGGAAAATTTGGAAAGAGAACATATCATCATATCATATTCTAGAAATGATTCTTCTAATCCTTTTGTTACAAGTATTCATGGAGAGATTTTAGACTTGGCGTTTGGAATTGGAAAGCTATTCAAAATAAAAATCTCTTTTATAGCAACGTTTTAAAAATGACCCAGAAATAGAACCGTTTTGGCCATCGGTTTTTGGGTTGATGGTTCAATCGTCCGGTTGGAACGGATGATCCATTCTGATAAACAAAGTAAAATAAAAAATAAAAAACGGTAAAAAACCGTTGAACGGGTCAATGGTTCGACAGTTCGACTGCTCGAATCAATGGATTGTTGATTTTTTCAACGGTTTTGACCAAAAAGCAGGTTTTAGGTTAAACGGAACCGATTGCCTGGATGGTTCCCGGGTCGAACAGTTTGACCGTCTGAGTCAACGATGGTTCAAAAACCTTGCTTTTTGAGAGATGCTGAGTATGGCAGTCAAGTTTGGTTATTTTCAAGCTGCTTCTCCTTTAGTTTTAGAGGTAAAATCTCTTTTGGACACTATAAAGCCGGTTGTTGATCTATCTCTTTATAATGTTGTTTTCGAATGTGATAATATATAGCTGGCTGGTAGTTTCAAGGCCATAGATGGTTCAACTTAGGGGTGCAATTTAGCCAAGCCGAGTTGAACTTTGGCTTGCCTTAGCTTGGCTCGACTAAAATACTACTAGGTTCAAGTTTGAGTACAATTCGAACTACATTTTTTGTTTTGAGCTTATTTCGATTAAATATTTGATGAGCTTGATTTTGACTTGAAGGTTCGAAAATTAATATACTTTTATATTCTATATATGATATATTTTTTATAATATATTATAAATATATTTTTACATCCTATAATCAAGGATTAAAGTATTGATATCGGGTATCATGTCAGACAATTTGAATATGGATACAAATACAAATGCGCTTCGGAAATGCATGGATAAAGATGAAAAATATGAAAATATTTGGATACACTAAGAGAATGAATATAAATTCCATAAATATATTACTAGCATTAGGTTTAATGTCAAAATAACTACAAATAATGTATAAATACATTGGAATTGTATATTTTAAGGATATATATGAAGAAATATATTACAATTAACATGGTAGGATGCATAGATATCATATAATTTTATTGATATGCATCAATTAAGATTCTAAGACATATTATATATATCCTTACAAATTAATACATACACAAAGCCATTATTATTTTATTTTATATTTAAGTCTAGGGCACAAAACATATGCAACTATTATATTTGAATTATTATAACAATTTTTTTCTATGTTAATACTTATAATTTTTAACATTAAAAAAATGCCAACTAAAATTTAATTCTCAAAATTTTGGTAAACAATATTTTCATTTTTATAAACAATAAATTTGTTATTATATAATGCAAATCAAAATATTAATTGATAATTTATAAAAATATATAATACTAACTTAAATATATCAAATCTATTTAAACTTTGAAGATACATATTATATGAAATTCATAAATTTTAATTACTACAATAGTTATTTAATTATTAATATTTTATTTTTATAAATTTTTAAAATAAAAAGAATAATTTTTAATATAAATAGATTCACTTTATATTACATTTTTAAATAAATAGATTTTTATTTAATGCAAATTAAAATATTAATTAATAATTTATAAAAAATTTAAGATATATATCATGTGCAAATATATAAATTTTAAGTATTAAAATAATTATTCTATTACTATTACTTTAAAACTTCTTTAAATTAAAAATCAATTTTTAATAAAAATGTGGGTTTGTTAGATTATTTATTCCATTGGTTTATAAAATATTAATTTTAAATATTAATATTTTCTTTAGCCATTGATCTCTTTCCCTTTCTCTCTTCTTTTTTTTGTTTTTTCAGATCGCAATTCTTCACTGTTCATCGTCTTCAACCCAACGAACCAGCGACAGGGCGACGATAGCTCCCTCTCTCTCATACTTTTGTTCCTCTGTTCTCTCCGTCCATATCTCTCAAGACCACCACTAATCATCTAAGGCGCCTCTCCGGACGCTGCAACGATCATCCAAGGTGTCTCTCTCGTGACTGCAAGTCGTTGCAACAGTGTCTTCGAGCGTAACCTACGGTGACAGCAAATCCCCTCTCTAAATCCTCTCTCTCCTCCTCACTCGCGTAAACACTGTTCGCCGCCACTATTCATCGTCTTCCTCGGTTGAACAGTGGCGGTAAACCCTTCCCATTCAAGTCCGCCTTTCTCCCTATTTCTTTCTCTTCTTTCTCTTTTTTATTTTATTCTATTTTCCCTCCTCGCCCCCCTTTTTTTTCCTTTGACGACGATTTCATCGGACCTTTCCACACCCCTGTTTTCCGAGGGAAGAGGCCTCTCATCAGTAAAAGTTATTCGTTTTTTTTTTTTTTTTCCTTTGTTTGGGGATTTCTCGCTGTCTCTTGGGACTGTCATTGTTTCGTTATCCACAGAGCTTGCCTTCGGCTTTTTGGCTTCACCAGCAATATAGCAGGTCCCTTTTCTGAGTCTTCAGCCACCGATCGATATCGTTTTCTTCCCGGTTCTAGGTGAAACCAATGATCAAGACGTATACCCCCCTCCCGTTGCATCATCGAACTCCGGTCAACATTCACCGGTTCATTTCCAGTGTTGGGGGGCGATATGAACATCAAGAGGTCTACCATGCTGTGGCGTACCACACCCGGTCATTCCAAACTCATCGAGCAGGACCGAATGCATCCTGTCCGATGCGAAGCAAACCAGTCCGTA